AAAATACCACAAATCACAAATTTACAAACTTGGACACTAAACTAAGGGAAGAAACTAAAAAAAAAAGATGAACTCTCAGAAATGAAGAGGTAAGATATACACTGAAGGTGTATAAAAGCAGATAGAGACTAAAGATAAAAACAGAGAAGATAATTCAAATTAAAAAAATTTAAAAAGTAAAAAGGACCAGAGGGAAATTGATAGAAACAAAAAATACATAAATAAGATTAAATAATACCTGTAATTGAAGTTCCTGAAGAGGAAACACAAAACAATAAAACATAATATTTAAAACTATAATTTAAAAATCTCTAAAATAAAAGACATCAATGTACAATGCGTTTCTGGAAATATTGCCTGGAAACATGGTTACCTTTGAAACATATCAAGTAAAAGTCTTAGGCTTTAAATAATAATAGTAGTGGTAATAAAAATCTTCTGGGCCTCCTGGCAAAAGGACCAAGTCACTTGTAAAGGAAATAAAATAAGGTTGACATTAAACTTATCAACAGCAACATACAAAACAAGTAAAGAGTAAGGTGACATTTTCAAGGAAGTCAAGGAAAGACAGTCTGAGACAAGAATTTTATATCAGTTCAACTCTTTATCAATTCTCAAGGTTATAGAAAATGTTTTAATAGATATGCAAAAATTCTAAGTATCCTGAGAAATCTATTAAAGAATGAATTCCTCCAACTAAGAGATAATTGAGAAAAACTTTAGAAATGGACGAGTGCTTAGCATGTAATATATTGTAGAACTGAGGCTAAAACAAAATTGTGGGTAAGGATAGAAAGACAATATTATATATATTATATGCTCTGACACAGTAGAATTAATACGACTAAAAATAAAACTGGAAGAAAAGGGTGGGAGAAAGGGTAAAGTTGAATAAGTTAGTTGATTTCCTTATAGAGTCAAAGATGTCATTTTAAGCTGACAAACCAAAGAGTAGAACCTAAGTTTTAAAAAAGGGACTGAACCATGGCTGGTTTGCTCAGTGGATAGAGCAATGGCCTGAGGAATGAAGGGTTCCAGGTTCAATTCTGGTCAAGGGCATGTGCCTCGGTGGTAGGCGGGATCCCCAGTCCTGGTCAGGATGCGTGCAGGAGGCAACCAGTCGATGTGTCTCTCTCACATCGATGTTTCTCTCTCTGTGTCTCTCCCCCTCTTTTTCACTCTCTCTAAAAATCAATGGAAAAATATCCTTGGGTGAGGATTAACTAAAAAAGGGACTGAGAGGATTATATAAAGATGTTAGTATCATGTAACAATGAAATAAAATATACATCATTCCATATATTAAAAGAACTAACAAACAAAAGATCAAAGATAAAAGTAAATATAACACAAAATAATAAGACAAAACTAAGAATAAAAATGCCAGTCATAGCAATGCATATAAACTCATCTACTAAAATGAAACATTTTCTGACTGCATCATAAAGATAAATACAGCACCTAAAAATTACAGAATACACATTCTTTTCCAGTCCACATGGCATAGACAACAAGAAAGACCATATGAAGGCCCAAGTCTTAATTTTAAATGAATTGAAATAATAAGTATGTTCCCTGACCAAAACAGAATTAAACTAGATCTCAAAAATATCAATAGAGAAAACCTGAAATATTTGGAAATTAACAACATACTTCTAAATACATGGGTCAAAAGAAATCACCATATTCACCATTTCCATCACATTATTTATCAATAATTTTGACATAAATTCTACCTGGTCAGGCACCAAGATTGCAATGTCAGCTTTTTTAAGATTTTAAAAAAGATTAAACATTTTAAAAAAATATTGATTTCAGAGAGGAAGAGAGAAGGAGAGAGATAGAAACATCAATGATAAGAAAGAACCATTGACTGACTGCCTTCTGCACGCCCCTCACGGGGGATCGAGCCCACAACCCAAGCATGTACCCTGACTGGGAGTCATGATTCATAGGTCAATGCTCAACCACTGAGCTATGCCGGCCGGGCAAACATTTTTTGTTTGTTTGTTTTACTGAGAAATAATTGACATGCGTCGCTGTATAAGCTTAAGGCATACAGCATGATGATCTGATTTATATACATTATGAAATTATTACCACAGTAGGTTCAGCTAATAGTCATCTCCTCCTATGGATAAAATAAAAAGAAATGATAAAAAAATAAAGAAAAAAAATGTTGTTTGCAGGTAAATGTGTTATACTTTTCTAGAACAGTACTTATCAAAAGACAATAAAGCTCCCTTCGGTGTAGTGGTTGGGTGTGGGCCTATGAACCAGGAGGCTAAAGAGTAGAACTGAGGCTAAAACAAAATTGTGGGTAAGGATAGAAAGACAATATTATATATATTATATTCAATTCCTGGTCAGAGCACATGCCCCAGATTGTGGGCTCAATCTCTGGTAGGGAGTGTGCAGGAGGCAGCATATCAATGATTCTCTAATCATTGATGTTTCTCTCTCTCCCTCTCCCTTCCTTTCTGGAATCAATAAAACAATATTTTTAAAAAGAGACAATAAAACAATGCCTATATAATACTGAGGAGAAAAGATTTGACAAGAATTGTTTGTCAAATTGTTATTTATGTTTGGAGGTAATTGATATTTTTTCATATGCAAAGGCTAAAAGAACTCACTATTTGTATACCTTTACTAAAAATTACTTTAAAATATTAACCAACCAATCAAAAGATTAGCTAAAATTAGGAACTGAGGAATGGGAAAGGCATGTAATAAAAGGCATGTTGGTAATATTGGAATTGGAAAGAGCTGGGAGAAGTCATGTCCCCTATAAATGACAATCAAGGTCTGTGGCTTGGAACAGGAAGAAATGGAAGCAGTTCAAAGAGCTTCTATTGCAAATAATGTCACTCACTCCAGAACTGCTATTTCCCCTAACTTTTTAATATTTTAAAGCGGGTCTAAGTGGAATTGATAACTAGGCAACTAGTGAAACCCTGGTGCTCTCAGCACAGCCAACTCTATTTTTCACCCATTACTGGCATTCCTATTTCATCAGACCTTTTGAAATTTTCAACAACTACCATCATCTTGGAAATGGTATTTCCAAATAAATATGTGACTGGAAAAAAATTTGCAGAACTCTGGGCACAGATGATGTGTTTCTGGCATTTGGCTGTCCACGTGTTTCTGGGGCTTCAGAAAAGAGGCTCCAGATGTCCATCTGACCGATGGCTTTCTGGGTCAGCGGGTACCGGTGCCAGGTGCTCTGCCACTGACACTAAAGGAAGGCTTGTGATGGTGTGGGAAGCAATGACTTCATAGGCTAGGGGGCTACCCCTTTTTTCTCAGGGTCTTTTTTATCAAGAAAGGAGAGCATAAGAGCAGTTCTTCACCTATTAACAGGAAATTTGCTGGAATTCCAGAGGAACGTCTTCAAATTCTTGATTAAATATTGGGCAGCAATTTTACTTTTTTTAAACATAGAAAAGGAGCATGTACCTCCTCATGGTTTAACATGCTTGGACAAGGTTGTTCACCACATCTTCTGGGTAAAGCCCTGCAGTAACACTGGGCTTGCTCAAGAATGGAGAGCTCTGTGTATAAGGGACTGGTCACTAAGAGTTCTGTGTTTTAAGACTGAAGTCAGACTTTCTGAAAATCTGGAGTTCAGAAACTAAACTTTTCCCAAATTTCCTGCAGGCAGAAGCAAACAAGTGCCAAAGGTTACTTCTGATCAAGAGAATCTTAAGACTGACACGTGGACTTACAATCCACAACTCGGTGATATGGATGAACATCAATGACTTGGACTTTGTCAGAGAAAATAAACTCAGTGAATTGGGGGCGGAGGAAATTATTCAAAGTGAATTCAACTACTTCTCACCTCAAGCCTACCATCATTTGGCAAAGTGTGCTACAGAGCTTGACTTCATTTGCCATGTGTGCTTTTGCAAGCTGGGTTTTATAACCCGTTTGTCACAAGAACACACAAATCAAAACTGATTGGATGTCAAGCATGACAATATGTTGTCATATTAAATCCACTCAAAACTTCCTCCTACTTTTTTAGTCCAACTTCAGTAGCCTTCATGGTGAAAGCTGGTGATAAGCTGAGCTGAAGTTCAAGTTTTGCTCTGCTTGGGAATTTTTATTTCTTTTTTTGTCATAAAGTAGGTATTAATTTTGCATTAAAAATAAGTGATAGAGGCAGAGGTTTGTAAAGAATGTTTTTCACATTTTTCTATGTGAAATCAAGAGAAGGCTGAGACTTGCAAGGACAGCAATGAAAGAATTAGGAAACAGTAGAGAGAGACCAAGACTAAGGTCATCGATACCATCGTACTACGGATGCAAAAGTTGGATGGTGAAGAAGGCTGATAGGAAAAAAAATTGATTCACTTGAAATCTGGTGTTGGAGGAGAGGCCTACAGATGCCCTGGACCACCTCAAAGACAAACTAGCGGGTCCTAGAGCAAATTAAACCTGAACCATCGGTGGAGGCAAAAATGACAAAACTGAAGCCATTCTACTTTGGGCACATCATGAGAAGGCAGGGTCTTTGGAAAAGACAACAAAGCTGTGCAAAAATACAGGCATAAGGAAAGAGGGAGAGTAGATAGAAGATGGACTGATTCAATAAAAGAAGCCTGAGGCTGTGGAGGACAGAGCACTGTGAACATCACTCATTCATAGACTTGTAAGGAGTCAGAGCTGACTCAACAACACGTAACAGACAATCACATAGAAAGAAAGTGTAACCAATGTCCAATATCATAAAAATAAATGCTATCTAAATTTTTGTGCATATGTTTAGGTACCTTTTTCCTGTAAGTTCACATCTTTTACTTTCAAAGAGGTCTATGAGTCAAAAACCTGAAAAAATATTTACAATATTTCTAAAGGCCTTTCTTCTTTAAAAATTATTTATCTGTAAACTGCGCTATCATTTTCACAAAAAGCTATCATTCTCACTCAGCTGAGTGGAACTGTTCTTGGAGGGTCTGCCTGAGAGGAAAAAAAGAAAGATGCACAGGTACCTGATGGTTTTCCACACGTCGAAGCCGTCCAGAGGTTTGGTACCATTCGTGCTGCCCCCGGCCAGCTTCACCAGAGTTGGCAGCCAGTCGGAAATGTGGATGAGCTCCCGGTTCTTCACGCCCTTCTGTTTCAGCAAGGGGCTGGCCACGAAGCCCACCCCTCGCACACCTCCTTCCCACAGGCTCCACTTTCTTCCTCGAAGGGGCCAGTTATTGCCCCCGGCCAAAGTCTGCCCGCCGTTATCTGAAATATAATTAGATGTTGGCATTAGGACAATGTTTAAGAACGAAAGACATCTGTGTTTGTTGTTATAAAGGGTGCTTAAGAACTAAAAAAGATAATTCCTCCTTACCCTCTCCTGTATCAACTACCCTTTTCCCTCTTGAAACTACCCTCCATCACACAGTCATAACCCGATCTGACAGGAGACCAATCGGTCCTCTGTGGGCAGGGCCACTGAAAAACAAAGACATCCTCTGAGGGTGACTGCTTGGGGTGGAGCACTGCATTAATCAATGCATTGGGTTGTTGTATTTTTTAAATAATATTTTTTTATTTTTCAATTACAGTTGAGGCATAGGGTTTTAAGTGTATGCTTGCAGCTTGGTGTAACACAAGAGGATGAATCCAGGAAAGCCGAGCCCTCCTGGCACAAGAAATGAAACCTGTGAATGAGTTTCACTTAGCGACTTAAAGCTCCTGATAGGTGGGGACAGCGGACCTTTTCATTTTCCTCTTGGAATCGTTTTTTCACATTTAAACTGGTAACTGAACCAACACTCTACTCCCTGGTGATTTGAACTCTTTCTTACGTGTGAAAGTTGAAGATTCCTCCAGTGGGCTAAATGTCCCTGTAAACAGAGCAGTTGGGTGGAAAAAATAATTGCAAGAAGAATTCTTCTCTTCTCGACAGGACGATGGCAAAACAGAAAGTTTCATCGTGTGCTGTGCCAGGAGAGAGAAGGGTTTTCTTCCAAGACAGCTGGAGGACCTTGGTGAGGCTAGGAGAGAAGCTGCAAGTGTGCCCAAGGTTAAGTATCCCACCAGCCAGTTAGGACTCAATTAGAAATGAAGCTGGACTGGAGAAAATAAAAAGTGGTATTTCTTGTGTAGTGAGGTTGTAGAATCATATTATCTTCAAAACTATCCACACACTTAGGTGACGTTAGAGACCTATTTTAAATAACACTTATTTGCATGTATATTATACTACTTTAATTAAACATTTTTTTAAAAACCACTGTTATCCAAATGAACCACATGGGGGCAGTAATACAGACCTGCTCTACAGAACCTTACAAATAAAAATCTAACACAGAAATCAAGATCTTTCAAAGCCACAGGATGCACATGTGAGGAAAGAGAACTACTGTGTTAAGCAAGCACCTACTATGCACCAGGCACCATTTAAATTTCATATTATCTCTCACAGAATCCGGAGTCTGACAGACCGGAAGCCTGATGTCAGTCACTCACTAGCTGTGTGAGGTGGGACAATAGGCTGTCTCAGTTTTTTTTTTTTTACCTTTAATGTGCAGATAATAATTGCTACCTCATGTATTATGGTGAGACTCATACTACATGACTAAAATGTAAATGACACCTTTTATAATCATTGCTGGGTTGGGTACCTGGCACAATCTAAGCACTAAATACATGGTAGCTAATATTTTAACAACCAAATAGTCTAGTGTTATAATGATGTTGTTGCTTTAAAAAGTGAGATGTGAAAAGGCCAAACCAATAACTGGGAAGTGTAGGATTCAAACAAGGTCTGTGTGAATCTCCAGGCACCATGCTCCCAGAGTGCCATGCTCCTGACATTCTTGACGTAGGGGAGTTTTAGACCTTAGGCCACAGAAAGCTTCCCTTCCCTATGAAACCATAAGCAGTCAACCTTAGCCAAGTGTGCACTCTTCCTGTGATAGAGCAGAAGGAGAGCTTTTTCAAGGCGGTCGCTCCCTTTGGAGGAGAATCGCTGTTGTTGGTGGGTAAGAAATTCAAGGATCTACTGCCAAGGTGGCTTCTAATTAGCCTTTAACACACCTGGTCCTCTGTTCTTCTCAGCTTTGTGAAGGGAGGGAGAAGAGTCTTGAGTTAGGTGAGGTGAAGGTAATAATTCTTTAATACCTTGGTGGGTGGCAAGCAATCTCAGCTGCTGTCACAGACTCACAAGAACCTCTCCTCAAACCTCATATCTCTTCTTTAAAAAGCCCAAGGCCCCAACAGTCACCCAAGCCAGTGCATTAAATACACATTCTATTTCACATGAGCTGATCTGTATATTCACAAGGGCACCATCTTTAGACAAAGGGATTCCTCCATTGCTGGGGTCCAACCCCAGCAGGTCCAGGGGTCCCCAAAGGTGTGGATAGAGTCAGCAAAGAAGGAATGACACGGAGACAGCGTTCAGTTGATCAGCAGCCTTGCCAGGATCTTTAGCCACAATCTCCAGCCAAGTTCTGTGTCCATGTTCTCT